CTCCTACGTCTCCGTCCGTCGAGGTCGTCGCGATCGCCGTCCGCGCGTGTTTAATCCTACTGTCTTCCGGTTTTGTCTTGTTCGCGCGGCGAGGAATTCGGTGTAGACGAGAAAACGAAACGAAACGAAACGGTTCGGGAAATATTCGAATTCGGCTGAGAACGAATTCGAACGAAGAACGGTCTGAAGGGAACGCCTGTTCACGCGTGTCCGACGTATCGTTGTCATCGTTCTCAATAAACGTTATTTTTATGGACTCGTAATCTAATGGTACATTGCGCTTCTTTCGCACTAATTCCAAAATGTAACTCGCGACGGACCGACCGGACGCGGCGCGCGTCCGCCGTTCCGTCCGTCACTCCTTCTCACCTTGTTCGTCCTTTGGGTTCACTTCGATCGTTCGCGCGGTTCGACGCGACAACTCGCGTTCACCAGAACTCATTAACGCTGGAACTGCCAAGCAATCGAACCGGTTGATCTTTATTTTTCTATGCTGCTCATGAATATTTAAACTTTATTCGTTATCATTACTATAATTACGAATAATTGTATCATTATTTACATTTATTCAGATTCCAACTGACTTATACCGTCGAATGCGCATTGACGAAACTGATTAACCCTCTACAGGCCCGTGTGACTTCATCACGCATCAGTATATTGGTATTTTGTTGATTGATATCATTTTGCAATGCCGAATAAAATTCAGTAATTTGCAAGGTACATTCGTTTGCACAATTATTAAAGCTGTCGAATCCACTGTTCATTTCTGTTTATAGATTGATGTTCATTCTCTACTACACATTTTTATAGTCACGAGCAAGAATTTTATTTCGTGATTATAACAAAATCGATGCAGTATGACATTAATAAATAGTTTAATAATTTTATTCAAACGAATGTATCTTGTAGCTTCGAAGTTACAATGACGTTAAACTCCTGTGTATACGAAAGTTTAAGTTGATCAATTGCTTAACGGCATTCGTCAGTTTTCAATAAAAAATTCAATAAATCAATTTAACCCAGTACATTGATGCGTAACTTCAAAATCGCACGGGCCTACAGAGGGTTAACAGATGTTTCAAAGAAGCGTACGCGTTGCTTTTCAAAAATCGTACAAACGGAAGCCCAGAATTGGCGATTCGAGCCACCGTCTGGCAGTTCCAGCGTTAAGCTCTATGATTCACGATCGCGAACCGAGATCCCCGAACCGAGCCATTGAAAATGTGTTGTTTGTTGCAGCGTATGCCCAAAAATGGGAGCAACTACTGGTACAGCAGCGTGATACCTTGAACGCCGCGCTAGATCAAGTGAGTCAGTTTCGCGGACAGCTGTTGCAAGAGGAACAGATCAGCCAGAAGATGACGCGAACTCGTAACTTACGGCACAACTAAGTTGGGACTCTTTTATGAATGAGAGAGAGAGAGAAAGAGAGAGAGAGAGCAAGAAAGAGAGCGAGAGTATGAGAGAGTGTGTGAGAGAGAGAGAGTGAGAGAGAGAGGAAGAGGACAAAGGGAGAGAAAAACGAGGGGCTGAGGAAGGGCGAAGAGAAAGAGAGAGGGAGAATCGTGGAATACGTATTACAAAGGAGAGCGACGGAGCAACGACTGCTTGAACGGAGGAGAGAAGATCGAGGGTTTAAAACGTCGACGACGTGGTCAAGATGATTCTCGAGCAGAAACGTCCGTCGCGTTAACGCTAGAACTACCGAGCAGTCGAATCGATCGAGTTCTTATTTTTGTTTTTAAGGGAACTACGGTGTACCCGTTGGAATATTATCTTGTATTTTAGTTTTGCACGTTAATGCGTCGATTAACACGTTGAATGTCATAGAGCGAAATGCATAAGACGGAAAATATTAAATTACTTGATTGAACCGGATGATTATACGTTCTAGCTGAGTACCACTTAGCTAGTATTATTTATAACATAGCACTATAGCGATTAGATTCGACGGGGACCACCGGTGACCCCATGGCATTCAACGTGTTAAGAATCTGTTATAAAAGCAGTACCTTGTCAGTAGTTGTAAGAGAAGAAATCAAAAGCGAGATCCGACGTGTTTGGTAGTTCTAGTGTGAAAGGGTGCGGCGAATGGAAAGGGAGGATAGCTACAACACCGATGATACCGTCCACTGTTTTTCGCGAGTCGTTTGCCACGTTCCTTCGCTATTCTGTACCTCTATCGTTTCACCTGTTCACTGTCGTTTTCCCTCTTGCGTCCCTTCCTTCCCCTCCACCCTCTTCGCAGGCCAAGCCTCGACGATCCTTTTCTCCTGTCGGATATCAGCATTTATCATAGAGCATCTCCGCGAATCGATGGTTACCAGGCGTTTGACTCATCGCGAATCAACACCTAATTGCCTTCACGGTGTCGATTGTTACATATCCGTCGTAATTGGAACGTGGGACGACGTTCATCGTACGCGCTTCACGCGATCGAATCATAAGACCTAGGCGAGACACGGAAAATTTCAATTCACCGTTCACTCGAATCCGCTCTTCGTGGTATCAAGGCCGAGCTTCGGACCTAGGCTTACTTCCATTAATGTA